TCGGCTACGAGGACCGTTTTTTGCCAACGTTTACTTCCCCCTCCCCCCTACCCCCCGCCCCCCCATCTTATATATTTGGGTCTTCGGAGGCTAAAACCCGAAAAGATCAACAGCAGTAACCCCCGCTCTCTATAATCTCCCAGGAAATCTTTGTTGGAATTTCATGTCCATCTTGTCCGCACATAGCGACAATCATACGCCTTCCTCTTCTTCTTCCCCAATCTCTCCAAACCCTAACTCCAACCATGGATCCAAACAGCAACAAGAACCCTCTCGCGCACTCGGCGACTCTCCCTCAATTTCCTCCGACAACTTCTCAGGTATGATGCTCTTTTACCTAATTCAACTCTGCCTATGTTATAATGTCATATTGTTACATTTGTCTTGCGTCATACCTCTTTTTCAGTTGAGTTTTCCTTTTCCTCTGTTTGTTTTTCAAGGGAATGAGTACCTCTACCATAGTACTCTTCAGCTTGCCCAATGTAGATGTTTTCTCCATATCATGCTTTAGTTTTTGTTTTCTCAGGAAACATGGCTCCTACTACATCACATGCTACTGGCGAATCTTCCAAAAAGGTAAAATTTTGCATTTTGCAACTTCTCTTCTCTTAAACCATTTTAATTATGTAGCTCTTTCACAAATGCACCCCATAGGCGCTAAATGTCATGATCTGTTTTTTAACTCCTTATTTGTTCATTCCATTGGCGGTTACTTGGATGATTGCGCTCTTCAAAATACTGCAGGTGAACAACTTCAGTACCAGTCAAGATGGTTTCAGAAGTTTGGGACGTCCCAAAAATGGTAGAATCTCACTGCATGAACCAGGGAAATCAGCTGGGACCATTGATCCTTCCAGCAGACGCAACCATTTTGGCTCCAATAGTCCTCAAGGAATTGCAACGCGCTCAGCTCCAAGAAGAACCCAGATGGTTAGTGGCAACCACTTGCTGAATTTTCATTATGATCCCATTTCTCGTCCACAAACTAGGGCGCCTCCACCAAGGAGATACATGAAGAGAAAGCCTTACAACAAAGACTTGTTTCTCCAAGCAAATTACAAGTTTGTTCTGTTGGATTCAGGCAATTACACGCCTGACTCAATGGATCCGGACAAAATTTTACAATGGGAGGATATTGTTTGTGTGAGATATTCCACTCCATTTCATGTGCAATGCCCAATATGCTTAGAGGATCCTTTGTGTCCTCAGATAACATCATGTGGTCATATCTTTTGTTTTCCTTGTGTTATGCAATATTTAATGATCGATGAAGACTATGAGCATAAAAACGATTTCAAGAAGAAATGTCCCTTGTGCTTTATGATGATATCTTCGAAGGATTTGTACACCATCCAAATTGAGAACGTTAAGCAACATCGTGTTGGTGATACCATAGAGTTTGTCCTTTTGACCCGCCACAAGGATTCATTTACTTCATCTTTGAAAAATAATGATGGCACTGGTGCTACAGAGGAGGTTCAGAAGTCCTTTTCTAAGTTCACATTTACTTCAGATGTCGACCTTTCTGTCCGTGAGGCAATGTCTGATCTTGATAGTTGGTTAGCTAGAGCAGATTCAGGCCTAGTTGATGACATGGAGAAACTTCCCTTTGTCTGTGCCGCAATGGAACAATTGGAGCAGAGGAAGAAATACTGGAATGAACAACACATTGCTGTCAAAAACAACAACACTAGCAGAGACAATTATTTGGGAAAGTGTCCTAGTGGATCTCTGTCACCAGAAAGTTCTCAGACCCCGTGTGCTGGTCAATCTACTCCAGAAATGCCATCCAGCCATCCCGCTGATAAGCCGGTATCGCAGGAGAAATCAACTCTCCATAAGGCAGCTAGGGACTCTCAGCTTATTCAAGCTGCAGATGCTGAATCAGTAGGAGATTGTGTTGGATCTTCGTTGACCTTATATGACAATAACAAGAGCCTACAGAAAGACAATAGTGGCGTTACGGACAGAGAAGAGATCAATTCCTACAGTTTCTACCAGGTGAATTTAATTGCCGATCATGTTTTTTGGTACCGTATACATAGGGGAGGAATGATTAAATAACCTTTTTGTGAGTATTTATTTTCTGTAAGTATGTGGAATTCAAACTGCCATATTCTCGAGGGAACATCTCAATTCAAACCTTGTCATGTTTTCAAAAGAACATCTTAATCCCTCTCAAAAAAAGAACATCTTAATTATTACATTGTCTTTCTTATGCAAGTACTTGTGTATTACATTTAGATGCATGTGTATTGTTAAGAAAATGGACATCTGGCCTAACTCACCTCGTCACCCCTAAAGCTAACGAGGTGAGGATTACCCAGAAATATGAGACACTTAACAACCCCCCTTCCTCCGGTCCTGCCCCTTACGTCAAGGTTGGACATTTGGAGAGTAGACACCATAGCATGGTAGCCACTATTGTGTAACAAAGAAATAGGGATGAATCTAGCTCTGATACATCACTAAGCAAATGGACCTTGACGTCAACTCATACTAAAAGTTAGCTCATGAGGTGATTATACCTTGTAAGAAGAAAATAACCTATTTCTTCAACGACTGTGGCATACTTAACAACAAAAGTAGTAAGATCATTTGTGCTTGGCAGGTACCAATGAAATAGCTAAAGATCACTATTTTCTTATAATGATGGTGCCATTTCCAGCTTGGGGTGCACTATTTTACCGAGGATCTGCCAAGCACAAGTACGCGTAACCATGTCCATCAAGGTTTAGCAGATGGAAAAGCATCCGAAGTTTTTTTTTCCCTTCTTTTTTTGGAATTTGAACCTTGGTCTCTAAGATCACTATTTTTGTTGGATATTTGGTTCTTTACTGTTTGCATGGTACTTATCCCTCACCTGAGCTTCATAACTTTGTTGAATTGAAAGAAGGTATAAAAGAGAAGTCTTTCCAGTGTTTTCAGGCACTCAGTTTGTTGCTGGTGGTTGGGATGACTTGGAGCAAGTTTTAGACTTTACTGCTGTTTTGAAGTGATTGATTTCATTCTGTTGAGTCTACCTTTTCATGAACAAGTTCTTCAGTGGGGTTTTAGCTGCTGATCAAAAACTCTATGTGTAGATATAGATATAGATAGTTTCCCTTACTTAAATACATCAGGCAAAGTGGGGTAAAGCCATTTTCCACAAAGAAAATTCTGTTCTTAATTTTATGTGCTATTAGGTTTTTGATATATCAACGCATGTAGTTGATAAAATTGTATGTTCTAGAACCTAGTGATGGGATTTCATTCACAGAAGCGGGAAGCCCATGTATGCAAAAATATAGATGTACCATACAAAGATATTGTTTTCATGAAGGTCATCTGATCATTCATAGAAACTTGAATGCTTTGGCTTCAAAAATAGACTGAAAAGAGTGACAGACTTTCCACTTGTGAATGTGTGTTACTGACACCTTCAAAGGTCCTCTTATGCCTCTTCTTCCAATGGTCCAATTAATTGCCTGGGGGTCATTTCTCATGCTTTCTTCTGCTTCCGCTTGCTTCTTCCCTTTAGCTCCACGGTAACTCCTTAATGCATCCTAGCATAATCTTGTCTCAAGCTAAGCATAACATTTGATAATGTTGCTGCCTCAATTTCTTTTGTCAACTCAAACTAAGCATAACATTTCTGTTTAGTGAATATCTTTCTTTTTTCTTTTTGTTGTCTGTGAGAGATGTGTAATGCACAGCTTTATACATGTTTTATGTTTTCCTGATTATTTCAGGCAGTTGATGGTCAGCACCTTATCCTTCATCCACTGAACATGAAGTGTCTTCTGCATTACTACGGTGGCTATGGTAGTCTTCCTAACAGGTTTGAAAGCTAATTATATTCTTACAGTAAGTTATGCTGTATTTTCCCGTGATAGGTGGCAAAGGGGTGTCTATTTTGTCTTTTTGATTGTTCATTCCTCATTGACATCGGCGAAAGGGATCTCTGTTTTATTGTGTCTATTTTAGTTGGTTTCATAGGAACTGCACACCTGAGGACCCATCAAAATCAGTTTTGATACATTTAGGTTGTTTTATACTTTACCGTCATTTGTAAGGAGGCAACGATCAGATTGTACGAATGTCTTATGTGGATTAATTTACTCCTTGATGGAAGTTGCAATTTCGTCCCTATTCTTCTGGGGTTTCAATTTCGTCCTTGATAGATGTCTTCTGTTCCGGATGGTCCTTGGTGCGATTGGCTACTAAAGCCTAGCTCTATTTTGACACGTGTCCTACTGGACAAAGTTTGGAGGTAATATTTGAAAAACCTTCTTTTGCTAGATAGCTGGCAAGCCAACTAACAGATTAAATCCCAATTCTCACTTTTCATTAGAGAATAGTTAATTCAGAAAGGGATTCTGGTAGAGGTGCTGTGTGAATGGGGAGGTTTTGATGATCTCGGCAAGCAAAGGAAGGGCGTGATGCATCTGAATTATAGGAAGAAAAATGGTTACGACAAGTTCTAGGGAGGGACAGAGATAGTGAATAGTGACTAGAGCAGGGGATATGCTAAGCTTGGGTGTAGAGGAGTTTGCACAGGGCTATGGTGTGCAAGGGGTCTCAAAGGGTGTGAGAGTATGAATTATAAGGGCACTGAGGGGAGAAATTCTGCAACATGAAGGAATGTGTCGGAAAAGCAGGCGAGAACAGAGTGGCCGGCTGGTAGTGTCAATAGTCTGTTGAATGTGGTCCTCTCTTTCTTTTCCCTCTTTTCTTGGCTCTTTTTTCCTTTTTAGTGGTTAATTACTTTGCTCAACTTTATCCTTAATATTCACCATATCTAGATTGTGCAATTTCATCCTTCGTCAATTTTGGTTTCATCTATAGACCAAATCTTAGACCGGTTATGAGATTGGCACAGCCAGGAAACTGGTGAATCTATCACAACTTAGGTCACATTGGGGGAAAGATGAATGTTACTCACCCTATGTTCTTGCGGGTAAGAACAGTGAGGTTTGTGTTAATGTCCCTCCAGCCCCTTAAAGGTTACCTTTTTATGTATGCATCTTTTATAAGGCCCCTTTTCCCAAAATATGAAGTGGGGATTATTAGATCAATTTATCTAAGTTGCATAAAAAGGAAAGGAGGGCTTTACACATGACATGAAGGGGAGAGTCCCCTCCTCAAAGTTTCAGCTTAAATCCTATTTCAACCCACTTTACCTTCTCTCGCCTATGTACCAGAAGGTAGTTAGCTTCATTTTCAGTTCCCGACCTGTGATTCAAAATGAATTTGGGTAAGGGAGTCATATAATTTGGACATATTCTAGAGGAACTGTAGGTGCTGCTGGTAAACTGACCAGAAGGGTTGGGGATGGCGATTTCCTTTGGCTTGCGAAGGCCATAGGAAGGATGGATTTGCTATGACAAAGGGGAAGGATGGATAGGTGGGAGTTAGAAAAGGCACATAGTTGCCACTTGCTGTGACATGTTTCTTTTATTTTGGGGTAGGTGGGTGAGGTGAACTCTGCCGTGAGCTGAGAGAGGGAATAGGTTTACATGTGGGGAGGGGCAGAGGCTAAAGGGTGGTAAATGCCATGCTTAACTGAAAATAACATTATACACTTGTCTATGTGAATATGTTTGAGCATATGCCGTTTGTTATTGTGCAACCACTTAGAAGAGGAAATTTTGGATACAGAATTAGTGGGAGTATATTACAAATGGAGTCTGTGACGCAGTCTGAGGCCATGAGAAGGCGCTACCGCTTCTTAAGTCATTTTTCTTTGACAACAACATTTCAGGTACTTGCTGTGATGCTTATTTCTGGAAGTGTGTTGACTCTACTTCATTAATTGTTTGGTTCACTCTAATTATTTTCGCTTGTAATTTTCAGCTCTGTGAAATTGATCTCAGCAAGATATTGCCCATGGATGCACTTTCTCCATTTATGGAGGAGATCAAAAGTAGGGAAAAACAAAGGAAGTGGCTAGCTAGAAAGGTTTGTAGCCCATGCTTCTCATCAGAATTTCAGTTGATTTTTCTGTTCTTGTGCAATTGAATGGTTAGCATCATGGGTTTATGATGCTTAGAAAATCCCAGAGTGAATGGAAAGCTATGTTGCTCGGACTCTTCAAAATGCTGCTGGGAGTGTGTCGGATCCTTCAAATTTAGTGTATTTTTGGAGGATCCGACACGGGTGCGGCAGCACTTTTGAAGAGTCCGAGCAACATAGTTGGAAAGTGCTAAAAGATTCAAGTGCAGGATATAAATAACACCTGCTGAAGATCAGTGGAGTGACTTTTTAGAGAGAAAATGTGTAGGATTCCACAGTCTACCTTTAGTATGTAACTAGATCCTTTTTGTGTTATGAGATTAATTTTCTTATAGCAAAATAAGAATGCTTAAGATCAACATATATGTTATAAGCTAAAAATGCATCAGATTTGCTCTGGTTCACAATAAGATTGAAAAGTAAAACCGTTAATCCAGTCCTTAACTGATTGTTTTATACTAGGAAGTCCCTAATCCATCCTACTTTTAACCCAAAATAAGATGGACAGTTTGGCCCAAGAGATGACTTATAAAGCCTCTAGATGCGCTCACATCTTATATAAAAAAAGAAAGAAATCAAAATGATGTAAAAAGAAATTGATGAGAAGAAAAATAAGTAAAGCGGTGAAAGAGAAGAAAAACTAACTTAACGGGGAGTACATCATTGCCATCCCTTTACTCAGCTATAGGTGGCCCTGCCCCATTGCCATCCCTTTTCTTGGCTAGATTGGAATGAGGTTGTTGTAGTGGTTCGGATGTCTTGTATTGAAAAACAGCTTGTTAATGCTCTGCTCACATCTCTTTCTTCTCAGCATCGATTACGCTCTCATGATACCCCAAGTTGACAGTGCACTCGATTTAATAAGAAACTTGGTTTGGATGATTCCTTCTTTTTTTTTTTTTGAGAAACTCTTCAAATATGATATTTTTCTTTTTCCAGGAACTGCGTGAAAAAGTAAAAGCTGAAGCCATTGGCATGCACTTAGAGCCTTTGCCTTTTAGCTTTGCAGGACCTTCTTACACAGAACAGCCTAATTTCACTAGCGATGACTTCGAAGGTACGTCAAAAAATTGCTATTTATGTAAGTGGGTTTTATGTTCTCATCTTACGTGATTTGGTATTTTAACCATCCCGGAGTATATCTGCTAATTTCCCAGTCTTTATATAAGTGGAAGATTGAGCATACCATTACTTGGTTGGTTATTAGACAACTATGTGCCCGTTTGGATCGACTTATTTTAAGTGCTTTTAAGCCAAAATAACTTTTAAGCCATTTTATAGTGTTTGGATGGAGTAAAAAAGTGCTTTTAAGCACTTGTTTTACCACTAAAATGACAAAAGTAACCAAAAGACAAAGTTATGAATTCTCAACTAATGCTTAAAAGCTATTGGCTTAAAAGTTCACTTAAAATTAAGCTCATCCAACGGGAAACTACGAGGGTGTTTGGCTAAGCTATAAGCTGGTCAAACTGGCTTTATAAGCAACTTTTTGGCTTATCTATCGCGTTTGGTAAAATTAAAAGTGCTTATAAGTTAAGTGCTTATAAGCCAAAAAATAAGCCAAAAGCCATAAGTTGGTCTCCCCAACTTTAATCAAATTTCAGCTTATAAAGCACTTTAAGTTGAACCAAAATATTTACTATTCTAATCCCTAAAATACTTCTGTTTAAAATAAAAACTCTTCGTATACCTAGTTCTTTAGCTGCATAGTTATTAATTTCAGCACTTTTATCCAAACACGTAACTGCTTATTTTTTAAATCAGCTTCAGCCACTTAAAATTGCTTTTCAGCACCTAATGCTTATCAGCTACTCTAAATCAGCTAAGCAAACAGGCTCTATATTCCTTTAAGTGAATAATCTTCATCTATAAAATGCTTAATTTGTGCACATTGTTAAGTGTGTGACCTATTCTTATCTAAAAGCTTAGATGTTACAGAGATTACAATTTTCTTTATTTAAATTGTCCTCTTCAACTCGCCCTTACCCGCGAGATTTGATTCAATTTCACGCACCAAGCATGGTGAAATTCATTTTGATCAATGGGTGGCGATAGACTTGAACTCGGAACATGGCATGCTCTGGTACCATAGTTCAAAGTATGTGATCATTCATCTAAAAGCTTAAAGCTATTTGAAAGAACATACTTTTAATTTACTTAATTATGTCTCAACATATACAATCACTTTCTTGCTAGTAATTTTGATGACTCAAATCATTATAGAAAAATGGTTATTGTCGAAGCTAAATTGAGCTTGAATACTGGTGGATTTTGTCAGAAGTTTGACTTTTTTGCCTTGTGCAGTATTGACAGCCGACGCTATTAACTGTTTATCTCTTTTTCATGATTAGCAAAAGCGTTGGTAGATTTAGCCTTTGTTTTTGAAGTTCTTAGTAATATTGCTTTACCTAATGGCTAGCCGTTTATCCCCGTTAGTTGAAATGATTGTTTCTTGTGTCTTAGTACTTGTTGTAGCTTTGGGAAGTACGGAGTAGGACTGTTACATCATCAAGCTCCCCAGTGCTGGAGGCAAGCAAGCTGTCTCCCAATGTTGGCACAGGCATTGGTTTTGCCGCTGGATGTGATCCTACCAGCGCTAAGACGGGATGAAGCCCAGACGTGATTCCTACTGTTGCATCTGGTATCTTTTTTAATTTCTCATAGTTGATTTTGACATTGAATATCTCTAATAATCTCAATTCCTCTTTATCATTTTTCATCACAATTTGCTGTTAAAACATGCTATGTTCGTTTTTGCTTATGTGGATTTAGTGCTCATAACCAGTGGACTTCAGTTCTCTCAGGAACAAGGAGTTTCTGGAACCATGTCCTTTGGACAAATTGTAACGTCCAAACAAAAGCTGTTTGAAGGTCCCAATTGCGTCTAATCAAATGAATGCAGGAAAGAGGGAAAGAAGCCAAATCGGATACCTAATGTCAAACGGTCTGTGGTAGGTGCGTTACTGAATCTTGAAGGGACCTGATAAAGAAACCTATCGTATATAATGAACTGGTTACCTCTGTAACCGGGTTTGCTAGTTTGTTACTCACCAGATTTGAAGCATGGTGTTTTCGAACAGTGTTGATGAAGTTGTAGCTGCGTTTCGCCATAAATTCCCCAAAATTTTGTTTTAAAAAATTCTGATTTGGGTTAAGTTTGGTTTTGAAGATGGACAAATGTGTTTGGACAATCTCATTTTCAAACATTGTTCCACTTTTTTTTTTGAAAAATACATGAAAACATGACTTTAACCTACAAAGTTCTAAAAACTACACACATACGCTCACACTGCCTTCATCAATAAACATTATATATGTTAATCGCAAATCATACGTCATGACATAAAATAAATTTGTATTCAAGATTATTATTTTAAATAAATGAACTATATAATCACTATACAGAATGACCGAGAAGAACAAAGCAATGATAAATGGCGGACTCTTTTATAAAATGCAAAAGTTTGGGAAATTTGTAAAAAATATAGGAGTTTTTATATTCCTATGCCATATAGTAAACTATATTACGCTCTATGTTTAAGGTTTGATATAATTACATTTAGTATACCTAATTACCAATTATATACCAATGTGTTTTAACCGTACATTATTATGGTACTGTATATCCCTCCTAAATTAATGGTACTGTATATTCCTCCAAATTACCCCCCTCCCCACGTTTCTCTCTCCCAAACCCACACCCTTACCCACGTATCAACCCCCCCCCCCCCCCCACACGTTTCTTTCCTATTATTTCCTCAGCTAAAACCAGAGAAACATATGTAACCCTCATCATTAACGTCCAATTTCAAGTTTTTTCTTCTATAACCAGTCAAAATTGAAGTCAATTCTTCAAAGTTCATACACACATTTACCTTCAGCTTCAAATTTTCTCAATGAAGAAGAACAAACCTTCAAAGCACAGCCCTAAAAAAGCTAGAGAAGCTGATATACCTTCTTTCGATTTGGGTGTATTTTTACCACATTCACCCAAAAAGCATGGGAAGTCTGCACATACAATTGTAGATAAGAAGCATAGTCTTTCTCCGCGTAAATCAGGGCTGAAGCTAGAACTAAAAAAAAACATGATTTCGATGCCGGAGAATCTTCGAGGCCAATCAAACAAGCGAAAAGGAAAGGAAAGGGGATAGTGTTCGATGATGATTTTGTAGAAGATGTGCCTATCAGTAAACCTGGAAAGAAAGCGAAGGTGTCTCCCAGTTAAAAAACTCCCAAAAAGAAGAAAAATTCAAAAAAAGCCCCAAGTGTTAAATCTCCTAAAAATGTTCGAAAACAGTCGTTGGTGAAGGTAAGAATTTAGTAATTTCTTCAGTAGTTATGTCGTTTGTTTTTGTTGTTAAAAATCTACATAATCTGTATTTTTTCTGCTCCGTAGATTATTTATCTTCACTTTGAAGATTAATTGTAGCTTTGTTGATCTGTTTAAAATTGTTGATATTTTGCATATTTTTTGTAGTTATTTTGTAGATACATTGCAAATGTATCTATATTTTTTAAGCACTGTATTAACATGAGATTATTTATATTTTGTGCAGAATGAACATTTTTTTGCATCCCATAATGTTGATTATGGGGTGCTTAGATTCCAGACATTATGTGACCCTAGCATTCCTAGCCAAATTAAAGAGCTTTTGTCTCCAAATGGTTTGAAGATATTCGAGAAGACATGCTTTGGTTATTTACTGTTATTTCCCAATTTATGCATGCAAAATCAAGCTATTCATCTTCTTATGAAGTATGAATTGAATTCATCTGATGCTTCCTATTTTTCAGCTGAGTTAAAAGGTGAGAGGTTAAATTTTGGATTGAGAGAGTTTGCATTAATAACTGGTCTTAGATGTCATACCGAGGTGACAAACTTTGGTTACACTACGAATTATGTCAGTAAGATAATGAGCAGTTACTTTCCAAACAAGGTAAAAGTGGAGAAGACATACCTATAACAGATTGTAACCAACAAAAGCTGGGTAAATGATGAGGATGCAATAAAGTTATACATTCTATATCTCATATAATTCTTCATTTGTCCTTCAGAGAAAGACCATATTGGGTTGGTTGATCATTTTAGGTTTTACTTGGTGGATTCCGATCAGTACGAGACATTTCCATGGGGTATTCAGTCTTACAGACAGTTGATTGAATCAGTTAGGCACAGGCTAAATCCTTTCTGTCACACCTCCTTTTTTACACATACCCCGAAGGATAAATGTATAAGGGAGTTTTTCCATTTAAAGTGACATTATTCGAAATGGGATTATTTATTTATTTTTCAGAGTCGCCACTTGGGATAGGATTGGCTTTTGGTGTCCCAAGTCACCGGTTTAAATTGAATCCCAAATCGAGGAAAATTTCGACTTCCAGTTGGAGTCTGTGAACCAGAAATTCTGAATAAGGAATTCTGTTGACCCGAGGGAAGATGTTAGGCACCCCCGGATCCCGTGGTTCTAGCACGGTCGCTTAAATTATTATAAATGGCTAAAAATCTAATTTTTGTACATGTTTTAACTTATGTGCTTTTTAAATTCAAACCGCTTTTATTATTTATTTTTTAAAGAGTATTGCAACGTCGTGAAAATGTATCTCAAACCACGTCGCACCAGTATGCCCGTGATTTTTTGGCACATTTCAACTTCGTTGAGATTTGGATTTGGGTCACATAAATGTGCACCCGAATTTAGGAAAGTAATATTATTAAACACGCGCCTAAAGCAACTACGCATATTATTATCTTTGTGGGAAGCCATGAAAATTCGCTAAATGGCGTGTCCCGAATTTCTAAAATATTTTAATAAAGTATTTAATGAGGGCCCCGTGATTTATGCATCTTTGTTTGGCGAGGCTCATCTCATCTTTATTTACAGGCCATCCTAGAGCGTACTACGATTTTCTATTTGAATTTGTCTCTAAAGAGTCCTAGTTAATTGATATTATTAATGCTATTATTTAAAGTGACCCAGGAATTCGGGCCTCAAGTTCAAGTCCACACTCGAACAAGAAGCAAACCTCTTAGTTCAAGCATGCTACTTAACTAGAAGGCCCAAAGCCTATATCATAAAATTGATCCCATAGCTCTAAAATGACTTTAAGTCTTCAGCATTCTTTTGGGCCTCCAAAGTCAGTCCAGTAAGGTGGAAACATGATCAGATTTTCATATTTGAGCATTTAGACAACAAATTTTAGGCCCAAACTTATTCAAATAGGAAGCTGCTGGGTTTTGGCCTTCATGAACCCACAACCAAATATTGACCCATGTATGGATCTTCAACTGTTAATTTTAATTCACAACAGCTCGAATAGAAGGCTGATTTAAATTCCAGATGTTGATTTTTATCAAATAACTTCGAAACCAGTTATGACATGGATATGCAACTCACACAATTAACCAAATGTGTTGAACTAGAGATTCCAAGGCCAAATCAGTTTAAATCAATACATTATAATGATTTTATGTATGAAGTCGGGTCTGTAAATGAACAACGAAGTATCCAGTGTAATTTAAGCCAAAAAAACGCCTGATTCTACACTAATAAGCATGCAGCCCAGTTTAAAATCAATTTTCTAATCGGTAACTTAACAAATCTGAATTAATTCATACCACAGCTGACATTTGCTAACTATTCACAATAATTCGAATGTCCGATGATTAACTACAAATGAAGATCTAGAATCAGTTTCATTTTATCACCACGGCTAATCATTAAACTAATCACCAAAATAAAATTACTAAGGTTAATGACTGACTGAAAGTTCAACAATCCAACAGTCTATTAACAATCCAAAAAAAACAGTCCTAATTGTACAGTCCACAGTCTAAGTTAATACAAATCGAAGCTAAGCTATACTAAGCAAATACACATCAACTAGTATCTATTTTAACTACAAATATAGAATAAACTAAATGAACACAGAGCTGGAAACTGAGGCTTGAATACTTTTATTTCATCTTTCAATTCAAGGCTACATCAAAGTTAATTCAAGTGTGTACCTGGAATATAATGAAGCAGAAAAGAAGATCAGAGTCAGTAGCAATTCGAGTGACTAGCAGGAGCAAATAACAATTCACATCAGCAAATCAATTGACCCAGTACCAACTCCAAACAATAAATCACCCAAAAAACAGCTTGAATGTACTCAATATAACTCGAACTTGACTCAGGAACACTGGAACTCCAAATCACATCTGAACTTCCACTTAATCTAAGAAAGAGATGCAATGTAACAGTATTTTTTTGAGTTTTTCTGCTGTATTTACTTTTTGTTTTTGGTTTTTGAAGGGATTATAATCTAAGAGAAATTTAAACTATAAGAGTTCATGATTTTGAAATTCTTTTTATTTGCAATTTAAATCTGGATGCTCTAGCTTGCAGGAGGAGTTTTTTGGGAATTTTAGATTCTGAAACTTTTTTGGGGATTTTTCAGATTGTTCAAAAACTTGTGAACTAAGGCATTAGGCATGCCTTTTATAGGCAGGAAAGGGGCAGGAAGGTTCTGGAATTCCTTCAC